TTTACTTTCACCCTCTGGGGGGAGCCTCGCTGGAAAATCAACACCGGTTGCATAATGTACCTTTAAACTCGACCTCATCATGTAAAATGGCAGCTATGGAAATGTTGAAACCAAAGGTATCTTTGGGTTTTGTATATTTTTTTTCAGTTTGTGTTGCTCCTGTCATTAGTTCCCTGAAAGCTCTCTGCTGCCCTCTTGTGTCCTGATTAGATGGGTGATGAACTGGTGGGGCAGCAGGAAGGCACGGAGCCATCCAGAGAGCCTGTACAGTCGCTGGGAGCAGGACCATGACCTGCAGAGCTTTGGACAGCTGGGCCTCTTCTATGAGTACCTGGAAATGGGTAGGAATCAGAGACTGAGACTGGGGGGGTCTAAAGGGGGCCGTTTTGTTGTAGCCAAATTTACTTTGTAATGTATTAAACTATATAATATAGCTTTGGTTATAATGTGATGATAATTTTAAAGTAAATCATGAGGAGAAGTGTTGAAGTGCATGAATCCTCCAGGGGGTGCTGTTTCTTAGCTCTGCCTCTGTCTCTCACAGTGATCCAGTTTGGTTTCATCACACTCTTCGTGGCTTCCTTCCCTTTGGCCCCCCTCTTGGCTCTTCTCAATAACATTATTGAAGTCCGAGTGGACGCCTGGAAGCTCACCACACAGTTCAGGCGTCCGGTGGCGGCCAAGGCTCACAGCATCGGAGCCTGGGAGGAAATTCTCAACGGGATGGCCGTACTGTCTGTAGTCACTAATGTGCGTTTTTAGCAGGACTTCCTCTCAGGCCGTTTGGGTTGATTTATATTCACTAAACCAACCGTTAATATAAACAATGCTCTGCCCTCAGGCTTTCATCGTGGCCTTCACCTCTGATATGATGCCGCGGCTGGTGTACATGTATGCTTACCAGCCGCAGGGCGAGATGAACATGAAAGGGTACATAAACAACAGCCTGTCTGTGTTTAACATCTCTGAGATCCCAGATCGCAGCAGGCCTGAGGAGGGAGAGAACCCGGCATGGTTTAACAGCTCCATCACTACTTGCAGGTAAAAACACTCAAAAGGAACAATAGAGGATGTCATATTATACCCTGCTTAGCTGAGCTTTCTATACTCTAGGCCAGGCCTAGCCTTGAGTCTAAATACATGTATCTGTGCCTTATGAGCTTGCTTACGCGGTTCATGAATGCAGCGACATCCTTGCTCCAACCACTGATCTCTATTTATTCACTGGAGTGCTGATTCTCCGTTGTACAGGGTTGAAGTGAAGGCACCGGCCGCCATATTGGTACTCCCTAGTTAGAACGGTCACAATGTAAACAATCCGTGCGCTGCAGCATCGAACAACAACGATGATGTTCTCATTTTCAGAGGAACTAAAGACTTTTAAAATAAAGATAAATTCATCACTTTGACACAGACTGGCTGTTTCATAGTAGATTAACTTAAACTTAGAATAAAAAATATAGTCACATTACATTGCAGAGACATTATGAAGTCAATGAAGTCTATAAATCAAGTAATATAACATATTATACAAGTAAATAACAATAAAATTAATGTGCTAACGGAGCAGAATAATAATACAGATGAGCCAAAAGTGATAAACTAATGATGAACATGTAATATTAATGTATTTATTACATTACCTTTTGAACGTCGTCCCACAGATGGTAAACTGCTTGTTTTTGCAGCCAAATGCTGCATAGGGAGGCATTTTTACTGCGAGTCTCTGTGGGAGTGGGGAGTACCAGCATGGTAGACGGTGGCTTTACTTTATTTTTGGGGCAATCAATCCAGTGAATAAATAGAGATCAGTGGTTCCAACCCAGATTAATGCCTTACTTAGGATCACGAACGGTAAAGGTTACAGTTATAAGTAGCAATTAGCAGTTAGCATCAGCACACAGAACAACATGTTAAAGAAGATGCAGAGTTAAAAATGTCTCAGTATTAACAAACTGGCACATTTGATCCACAAGGACAAGATCCACACATGCACAGCAAATCTAGTCTTGTGAATCTAGCGTGCTGGTTTGAATCATCATGTGCATGTTTGGGTCTGGTGCTGTAGATCTAGTAGCTCAAACTTCCCAAAGACATGAAGTCTTTTAGTGAAGGAGCAGCGATGCAATGGAGGATCTTATAAATCAGACACAGATTTATATGGATTACCAGTTTTTCCAAAGCTGAAAAATTTGTGCTTTATGAGGAAATGACAGTGAGGGAATCGTCTGCCTTTCTACTCGTGGCTCCTTAGAGAACTGTTTATGGGTTTTCATCCTTAAGTTACCCTAACCAGAGCGGAGGATGTGGGATCTGGGGATAGTCATCCAAAGTGGATTACTTTCTTATGATTGGCTTATACAGGGAGCTCTGTGATTGGTGGCAAACATCCCCTGTTTAAAAAAATGCATTTGTGTATCGAGGCACGTCAAGGAAGCCTCCAACATCCACACACAAATGCAGTGAAGATTAAAAATTGTTTACGGACCAAAAATGTTTTTTGGAATCTTTTTTCTGTGTTTGGATCTTGTGTG